CTTCGGGTGTCATTAAATCATTGGTCATATTTTCAGAGCTCTCAACGCTTTTCTCGGAGTTCTCTAAAGGGTTCACAATTTCTTCATTAGTTTTATTCACTAATTCGTTGGATTCGTCTGTTTCTGAGTCACTCTTCACTATCTCTTTACCGTCATTTAAGATGTCAATTAAGTTGTCACCCGTTTTCTCAATTTCTTCAGACTTTTCAATATTTTTATCTAAAGGTTCAATAATTTTATCCAAATCTTCGTCGACTTTCACTAAATTTTCTTTTAAATCTGAATCTGTTATAACGGTATTCTCACTTGAATTATGGATTTCACTGGAAGTTTGATTTACTGCTGAAGTATTATTTGGCAATTCTTTTGATATATCAGATGAGTTAACAACAGGTTTAGTGGTCTCTTCTTCAGCAACTGGTTCCATGTCTTGTGAAACAGATTCCCCTTCAGTATTAGATAATCCTGAAGAATCGGTTTCAGTATTAGAGTTTTCGACATTTGTCTCAAGAGGTTCACTCTTATTGTCATATTTAACATCATTATCACTCTCACTATCTTTACTATCATTTTGCTTAACATCAGTCACTATATCATCGGTAGTCTTATTATCTGTAATACTTTTGTCCGATTCATTGTTTTCATTCAAATCAATGGCAGAGTGCGCGGACTCTGAGCTACCATTTGTTTCCAACACATTACTCGACTGAATGTCCAACGATTTATTGTCTGAACTGTTAGTGTTTAAGTCATGGATTGGTTTCACTTCAGTCGTGTTATTATCTAAATTAAGTTCAATTGTAGCCGATTTGGTGGCAGTCATGGGTCCGGTGTCCACTGTGGGAGAGGTCTCTAAAATCATGTCGTCGACCATAAAAGAGGTGCCGTCGATGACTGTNAGTCGTGTTATTATCTAAATTAAGTTCAATTGTAGCCGATTTGGTGGCAGTCATGGGTCCGGTGTCCACTGTGGGAGAGGTCTCTAAAATCATGTCGTCGACCATAAAAGAGGTGCCGTCGATGACTGTATATTCTTCTGGTGTCGGAGTCTTAGTCTGCGATTCAGACGATTCTTCACTTAAAGAGGAATAGATTTGTGACGAAGAGGTTTCCGTTGGTTGTAATGGTAGAGATGGTGCCAAATCTTCGCCACTTTTCTCCTTATTGTCCATCAGATCTACTTTCGGTTCATTTGACCCGATTTTGCTGTCATTTGTGTCGAGTTTAACTGAAACGTTAGGATTTCTAACCAATACTTTCTCTTCGACGATATGAGAGGTGGGCGCCAGACCTCTCTCCCCATTCACCTGTAATTAGATATCATAACCAAATCAATCCATTTGATAGGCAAATAAGTGATTAGTCTATGAATTACTTCGATGTCTAACAGCTTATTGTCTTCAGTTCTGCCAAAAATGATAACTTTAATGTCTTGTGGAAATGAGACCATATTATTGTCCGGTTTACTGTATTTAATGGATGTCTTTCCCTCCGCAATGGGCACTGAAATGAAGAGCAAATGAAGACAATTAGTGATAATGACAACCATATAATCGCCAATTAAGCCAATTATAGCCAACCCGTGCACTCAATATCGGCGCACATCTTGTGTTGCGGCAGAACTTTGCCATAATTGGTGTGACTTGTGGTCATCAGTAGTAACCATATTGTAAGACATTTATAGACATTAATTGTCACAAATGTCTTCACAATCAACTCACATCTCATCAAATATTTCATTATTTTTCTTAATTCATTCAAATTGAATAAAATGTAAAAATTTTGAACACAATCTAAACGTGTTATTAAACTATATGTTAAATATATAATAGATTTAAAGTAATTTGCAAAATAATTAACGCATTTTGTAGTCAATTAACAAAATTATATTAAATTATTAGAAATTAAAATATAATTTTAAGTTCACGTCAGCACTCAATACATGCATTTCATACACAATATAATACATGAATCGTCTATTCATTTAAATTTAAATTTAGTTTCCTTTCAATTGTTTGTCAATTATAGTCATAATAATCGTCAATTTGTGGACACTTTGTGTTCAGTATTTAATAGTGAAATAATGCAAAATTAATTGCAATTATAATCATATTAATGATAATAACATACAAATGGATCAATATATGAGTGCCAATGAGGCAAACATTGCACTCAATGAATACTGTGTGCACTTCACTGCAGTACACATGAGATGCAGTCACTGGCAGTTCAACATCACTGCTTTGGTCCACAATTGAGTGTACAGTATAACCCAAACTTACAATGCATTCAAGTTTTATTCAGTGAATTAAATTAAATAAACTGGATTATACTCGTATGGTATGGTACATGTATAATACATACTTGTATAATAAGTTTATCCAGGTCCAGTAATCTAGCGGGATGCCTTAGATGTGCAAATTGGTGATTATACTAGTCCCGAAGACTTGGAGGAAGCGGTTCGTAAAGTGAATAAATCTGTTTCTAACGACGATCTGAAGAAATACGAGAAATGGATGGCAGAGTTCGGGTCGATGTGAACGGCCAGTCCGAAGAGTGTTTTATACTTAATCTTTAAAATTGTTTTTCCAATAAATATATTTATATTTTCTCAATACATCAGCAAAAAATATGTGATTTATTAAATTTACTTTTATTATTAGTTTATTGACAAATCATTTATAAAACAATTGCCTGTAATTAAGAAAAACGAGGGGTTTATGTGATGAACGTTCAGATTATCTCAATCACTAAATCCGAAGACATTTTCCTGTAAACACATTCAAATGGCTTTTAAATCTGAGCCTTAATTAAATAACTCTGAAAAACATTCCCAAAAAAGTTCAAACAATTTTCAAACAGTAAATGAATTTCACGAAAAAGTCTTTAAAAATTTAATTTAAACCTAAAACACAATTAATTGGCTTTTTTGGTCACTTTTTTGATATTCCACGCGAACCACAGTTTGATTGCGAAGAATAATTGGCCGATATGTACCTGAAGGGCCACTACACCGAAGGCATACCATATGATTGCCACCGAGAGACCCATCCATCGCTCCTTTACCGAAGAGATATCTCTTGCGGACGCGACGTAAGCGTAGATATCACTGAAATAGTAGACCAATGCGTACAGAATGGGACACAAAGACCACAAGAAGGTGGCGATGGCGTAGAATCTGATGCGAGACATGTTGTTGTTCTTGAACGAAGACATGGCGAACAGCGATAAGACAATACTCGACGACCACATCCACTCCCAGAGTCGCGGTTTAGGTATATACAGCTCTTGGAGACTTAGGATGAAGATGTCGAGTCTGTCGAGTATGTCGTCGGACAGCTTGACCAGCATTAGTAGGGTTAACAGGAAGTGGAGGAATATGCACCACTTTAGGCGATATTTATTCTCGACACTAATCAATGACAGATAATTAATCACTTAAGACTATTACGAGTGACTATAAGCGCATATATATATACCTAGTCTCGTAGTGTTTGGCTACCTTTTGCCGGTGACCGAAATCACTTCCATCGGTTCCAGCGACCACCTGACCCCTGGAAGACATGACTGAATGGATTGTATGACTGTTTGGGTGTCAATGAAGTGTGGATTGAGTGGTATTTTGAGTGTAAATAGTGTGAAGAGTGTGTGAGTGGAGACACCATATGAGGCACAACACTGAGTGAGAGACACAAACAGTCTGTCGAGTCGACGGCTGTCAGGAAAGCTCTGTCTGTGTCTGCAATGCAATCACACATTCATTCACAACATATGACACACCAATACAGTAGTGAAGGTATGCTACGTCAGACGCTATGCTTATGGCCACATTGGCGTCAATACTGAATAACACAGCCTTTAAATATCTGCCAAACATAGATACTGTATTCCCAAACATTTAAAATCAGTTTTTTAAACTTTTATCACTTTTATGATCCAATTGGACAGGGATGTAGTCAAAAAATGATTCATTTCTTAGTATTATTTTGTGGCTTATATTTCTAATAAATAATCATTTACGGTATTTATTTTATTGTAGAATTATTAAATTAAAAGTTATTCAAATATCTATTCAAACTCTTTATTAATTATTTTATATGCATTTTAACGACTTATTTTAAATAAATTTCAAACCGTGATTGAAAATCATGATTTTAAAGTGAACAATATTTGTCAATGAATGTGGTGTTTATGTTTTGATGTTAATGTTACCATCAAATGAATTTATAAGACAGACTTCGAGTCAAAAATACAATGATTTGCGAGTGATTTCAGTAAAATTCATTTGATTTCTTCGTTTTACTTCTTTTACTGGGAATCAAATCTGTGGATCCATTGGCCGATCGCTTACCGCTCGGGCGCTGGACTTTGGATTTGGCGAGCAGTGACTTATCGGCCGAACCGCCAACTGATCGGTTCTGTTGTTTACCAGAACCAGACAGCAGTGGATGAGCCTCTGATTGTCATCAAACGGATCACTGGTTATAAAAGTGTCAATCAATCAAAACAATTCATTCTAACCGTCTTTCGGCGCTTCCTTCAGATCAATGTCTATAGTCTTAGATCTTCGCGACTTTGTCGGTGTTTCCGTGCGAGGAGTGGGGGTTACAGCTGTCGGGCCCTCCATTTCGGGGTCGTCTATATCGGGCGCTATTGGGAGGTATATGAGAGCGCTCTGGTCTTCGTCTTCTTCGTCGCTTTAAATTTATACAAAAAACGGATTTATTAATGGTTTGAATTATATTAAAATTCGAGATGAAAGACCTGCTGAGGAATGCATGTATGGTGTGAGGAGTGACCACATCTATGACCACATCTTCGTCTTCGTTGTCGTGCGAAACTCTAGCGGGCGTTCTGTCCTCGTCCTCGATGTCAAACTCTGACTCCCGTTCCTCGTACTCAATGTTTTCATCCAACTCTTTGAAATCGGGTGCAAATGCGGACCAGTTCTCCACCTGAGGCTGAGCCCAGATGGACACCACACCACTCGATATGCTGGCAATTATCGGACGAAGCGGATGCCACTGTTATCATAAAAATGTCGCTATCAGTGGTCTGTTTTGAAACCGTATTTAATAGGCAATACTCACCACGACATCGAGTAGGAGTTCCCCTTTAGTTCCGTGTAAAATCTTCACTAGATTTCCGACATTACGCTCCCAGACATAGAGGGCGTGTTGTCGCGCAGAACCGGCGCATATGTAGTCGGCGTCCGGACCGCCCGAAAAGCAGCACTTCTTCCACATCGTCTTATTGACCAAATCCTGGAGCTTCTGAATCGGTTCCGGTTCACCGTTTTTGCCGCACATCAACACCTCTTCGGTCTCATAGACTCGGATCACCCGATCGGCAGTACTCACCAGAAAGATGTCTTTCTTTCGCGGCGCGAACTCTATCTGTTTGACGGCAGTATTGGACACTCGGAAGGAGGCGATGACAGTGAGGGACGTGATGGTGGTGCCGACCTTCACCACAAGTATCTTTCCCTTTGCATTCCCGGTGTATATGTATTGACCCCTTCTGTCAAACGAGGCAACGATGTTGAGGTCCGTGTCGTCGTCCAGCGGAACCATTACGTGAGTCTTCGTGGACACTGGAGGACAGGGGAAGGGAATGGCATTCAATTAGGGGTCACTGAAAAGGCACATCAAATCGATGGTAACCTTCTTTGTGAGGCATGAAGACGACAATCGCCGCGTGTTTTAGCGGACAAATTAATATCATTTTATCGTTTCTCGGGTTGAATTGGACGCGAAGTATGGGTGAGAAGAATCGCCACCGAATGACACACTCACTCGTCAACACATCCCACACGCAGACCGTGTTGTCAGTGGAAGCGCTCACCAGTTTGTGGCCATCTCTGGACCAACTGTTCAACAGCGCGAAGAATGGTTAGTATAGGCAAGTGTTGCGGTGATAGTTACCTGAGTGAGCAGACCGGGTGCACATGGGCTGAGACAATTTTGGCCATTCCTCTGGTGAGGAAGTCCCAGATGACAATCCTTCCGTCATTGCATCCGACGGCCAGACATGTGCCGCGACGGTTGAAACTGCACGTCAGGGCCAGTGATATGCAGTCGAGGGCGCCGTCAAACTCTTCGGGATAGTTCTGCCCGAAGTGCTCCAAGAGGTCGATATTCATGTCTTCGGCAAGTGATCACCAAAACACCGATTCAATTGATGTCAGTGTTTGCAGTGTCTGTGAGTTTGCGTTGTTTTTCACTTTTGGCTCTCATTTCAAACATTCATTGCTTGGCTTTGCAATGGCTTTGCATTCATAGCGCTATCTATGCTATGCTGTAGTTATAGTGCTGTAGTATTCAAGAATTGTCTCAAATTCTTGTACAGAATTTAATACATTAGTTATAATAAGTATTTTTCTATCATTTCATTAATAGACAAGTAGTTTAATGTTTGATTTACAGTAATGTATGGTGAGTGTCAGTGTGTTTTAATACATTATAGAGTAGAATAGTACTTATCAAATGATTTTATTAATTTTATTGAAATAACTTTATTTTTATTAATACGAGTTTATTTTTGTGACAATCAGTATTAAAAATGTATCAATCAATTTAATAAAGAGTTTTCTAGATATGCATATTAATGGTTATGAACTTTATGTCTCCTATTATAAACTCATTTGATTGAAGCATTACCTAAGGTTTATAACCGTTTATATGCATATCTAGAAAATTCATTATTAAATTGATTGATTCAAATGAGTAAATAATCCTAAATGTGTTATCAAAATAATTTATAAGACAGTATTTTTGTCTCACCAAAGATCGTAAGCAATAAGGGATCACTTCCGAGTCCGATAACTAGTTGGTGATCATGTGTTAAGATTAAGAAAGTTCAACACATTATTGCAGTACAACAAGTGGTGAACTGAAGACTAATGTAAATTAGTGGTCATATGAAATACATTTTCAAAAAACAGTAAATATATTAATTTTAAAAACTAATTTCGCTTCTAAAATACAATTCAAATATAAAAGTTTTATAAAAAGATCACAAAACTTGAAGATAGTATCCGTGGCTAACACTGGAGAGAGTGATGGGAATGTCTGAGGGGAAGAAGGGGATAGGGATGGGGATAGGGATGGGAAAGTGAGCGTAAGGCTGATGGGGGAGTGAAGCCTAGTGAACAACAAGTGATTCACTTGACTGAGGCATTCAATATGTGTTTCGTTACGCCTATTCATAATAAGCAAATACAGTAGTAATGCAATTGTTGTGCACTCATCACACATTACAATGCATTCATAAAAGCAGCAAATGTTATGTCATAAACATTTCATTAATAATCATGTCATTAGTTATAATTACATGCATTCAACTGATTTGGTTTGAAGTTTACGAAAGCCATTAATCTATTGAATAGTATGCCAATCAATATCTATGTTAATAATGCAGTGAAATATGTGTATATATAATGCAAATGAGTGGACATTTCAGTGTTAAGTGATTTGAAATGATGTCTAATAATAAGAGATTGAGTTTATGTTCAGTGGTTGTGATCGTGATTACAATAATCATAATTAGAGTGGATTTGAGTGAAACTAAACTCAACTTTTATGTCAATAAAGATGAGGTCCAAACACTTCTCGGTATGTCTTCACCATTCACTCACTCCTGTGTCTCTCAGTTGCCATTCATTTGTCACTCAATCGCATCCATGTCTTACCCTTTAATCCAATTAATAGCTATTTTTGAAGCCATAAATCAAGTGTTTGTTTGCATTAAAGTTGCAAAACATATGTTTATATAAAACATTGTTTGCAATC